GTTTGTATGGAAGCAGGCTGCATCCAAGCTTAGGGGTGTACAAGTTTTTACTTACACAGAGCTTGAGATTGCAACAAACAAATTTAGTGCAGCAAATGTGATAGGAAATGGAGGGTATGGGGTAGTGTATAGAGGGATTTTGAGTGATGGCACCGTGGCTGCAATTAAGATGTTGCACAGAGAAGGGAAACAATGAGGAACGTGCCTTTCGGTTAGAGGTTAGTGGACTTCATTTATTGCTAGTTTTCATATTATCCAATTTTTTAAGCTACATAAGCTTGTCAATTAAACTCATCTGTACACTCAATTGAAGATTTTTTTTTGTTTTTTGGTATTTTCCCCTCTTTGGCTAAATACGTTGGGGAATAAAGGGAAATGGTGAGTGAGAATGGAAGTGAGATATTTGCCTAAAAAATGAATGGTACTTCTGGCATGGGTCCACCATTGCTTTCTTGAACATCCTAATTGAACTTATTTGATGGGTGCTTGTCTGTGGTATGGTTTATTTCAACAAGTCTGTATTGAAATCAGTTTGAAGAGTTTGAAATTGCTGCAGGTTGTGATTGGGATGGATGTGGCTGCTTCTGAGTTTTATGGTAAAGACAAGACTTATGATCTAAACTTCAAAGAAGAGGTATTGCTTTTTCACATTTTCTCCCCAGATTGTTATGTCAAACGTTCGAATTCATTGCTAAGCCAAAGGATAAAATTACATCTAGATTCATAAATTCTAGTCTTCTAAAGGGGGGTAATTTCAATCATGACATCTATCTTTTTGGTCATTCTTCTTCTTTATTTAGTATGTTTGCTGCTTTAGTAGTATGTTTGGTGATAGCAAGTAGAAATTTCAGTGCAATGATGGCAACTGGATCAGTGTGTTATTCCAAAACCTTTTGATATACAAGAAAATATAACCTGCGTTATCACCTTTGCTTTTGCCAGTTAAGTTTTGCAAACCTGCTTGGTACCAAAATTTGGCTATTCAGCAATCAACTTTATTTCGAATGAAATGAATCCTGTTTGGTATCGTTACTTTACATTAGAACATAATTGCTAGGTGCTGATATCTTTAATTTATTTTTTTATTTCTGGTCTTTCTTTGCAGAATAATGATGGCTCACAAAAGATATCAGGTTATGACTGAAGGCTCTCATTTCATTGGAAAGTTTGGAAGCTACTGCAAGTTCTTTCTACTTGCTAGGGATGAGAATATTTTAGTTTGTGCACAAGAGAATCTTTTAAGTTAGTGCACATGAGAATCTTTCAAGTTTGTATTTGTTAGGGATTTGTTATGTTAGTACTTGTTACTTACTTTTAGTTCAACAAATTATATTTGAGTATTGACTTTTGCTTTTAGATTACTATATGCATTCTGTTCTTTGGGATAATTTTACAAGTCCTTTGGGTTTCTGATTGACGGAATGTATAGCAGGGAGCACTACCTGCAGGTTGCTTCTATATCAAAAAAAAAAAGATAAAAAAACTCCTGGCAGTTAAAAGTGTCAGCATAGAATTCGATATTCTAATGTTGTACTATACCTATCCTGACACTTTCAATTATCAAGAAAAGGGATTTTTGTTGGCAGATGAGATGTTATAACAGCATAGTTTTCCTGACATGTTGAATAGTATGAGTCTATCCCCACATTGGAAGGGACAACACTCGCCCTAGGTGTGAGGATAGATAAAGTGTCAGGTTAGATTATCTATACTGACACTTTTAAATGCCGTTAAAGGCCATTTTTGTTGTAGTGGTTACATAGACGAAAAAAATTTATTTACTGCATTCCAAAGTTCTCATCACAATTTTCAGGCTGCCTAACCTCCATTGGAGTTATTGGTAGTTCTATATGAATTGAATTAATTTGTACAAGAGATCCTGAAGACTTGGGTGGAGAAATTCCTTCCACGGCATTTTATTTCTCTTCATGTTCAAAAGGAAACAAATAAAACAGTTGCACCAGGAGGAAATTTGTTCTAAACATAATTTTGTCAACCATGAAATGAAACAAATGACCTAAGCAATGAAAACTGACTAGACGCACATAAGGTGAGATCGATTCAAATGGTTAGCTATTGTGGTATTAGTCACGGTCACAAATATTAGTGTTTAATATCTTTTGCTGCATATCGGAATAATGTTAAGCAATGCATTTTTTTTTATGTAGAGTGTTTAAAAAGATTGGAAACCAATATAAAAATCATAAAATATGTGTGACCAATTCAGAGAACTGATAATATACACTAAGGGGGCGTTTGGTAAAAGGGTATCGGAATGAAGTAATGGAATAAACTCCATAACTGGTGTTTGGTTCACTGGTATGGGAATTGAAATTTTGGAATGATTTCTAAAAATTTGGCATCTCTCCATTCCCTAGTAAAAGGGTGGGTTTTGTCCAAAACCCAAGTATGATTCCAAAATTTTATAATTACATAATATTTAGTATAATTAATATTTATATATATTATATATATATATAATATATACATATATAATATATTACAATTATATATTTTATTATAATATTAGTATATTATATAAATATATATTATAATTATTTAGTTAAATATAATTATATTTATATAATATAAATTTATTAATATTATATAATAATATATTTATAATATATGATATTTATAAATGTATATTATATGTGCATATAATTATAATATATACATGTATATAATATTAATAAATTATATAATTATAATTATATTTATATTTATTATTTTAAATATATAATATATAATAATAACTATATCTAATATTAATATGCATTATATTTATATAAAATATTAGTACAATTAATATTTTATATATTAATATTTATAATTATATATTTATATTATAACATTTGTATAATTATAATTAATTATATATATAATATTTAATTTAATTAGTTACAAAATTATAATAATGATATTATTATATTATATAATTATATATTATAATTATTTAGTTAAATATAATTATACCTATATAATATATATTATAAATTTATTAATATTATATAATAATATATTTATAATATATATGTATATTTATAAATGTATATTATATGTGCATATAATTATAATATATAAATGTATGTAATATTAATAAGTTATATAATTATAATTATAATTATTATTTTAAATATAATAATATATAATAATAACTATATTTAATATGTAATATATATTATATTTATATAAAATAGTAGTATAATTAATATTTGTATATATTATATAATTATAATTATATATATTTATATTTATATTATATATATAATATTTAATTTAATTAGTTACAAACTTATAACAATAATATTATTAGTTATATGTATTATATAATGTATATTAATTTATGTAATATAATTAATATTATCAATTATACTAATAATTATACATGTTTACTAATAGAAATTATTAATTAGTTAGACTAAATTTACTAATACATTTATACTAATATATTTAATTAGTGAAAATTTCTTAAATCCCATTTACAAAGAGCCAATAACTATCATTTACGATGTGGTTTATAATATATTTATTATATTCTATTCCAAAAGAGTCGACGAGCTAAACATCAACTATAGTAATGATACACATTCCAGGTACTTGAACCAAACAAATGTATTGGAATGAATGACTTCATTCCAAACTCAGGATATCCGATTCCGAATCCGAATCCGATTCCGATGTACGAACCAAACGCCACCTAAGCATCAATTTGACATGTTACATGTTCTCTAAATTGCATATTTTGACACTTCGCCTAATGAATTTTTTATGTTGTGGCATTTATGTCATCTTATCTAGAATGTCTTAAATATTTTCATACATCGAAGACTACAATAGGTTAACAGATATTGTATGTGTCATATATATGATGTCTTTCTACAAGTTGTGGGTTTTTTTTTCAAGAAATTAGAATAGAATTATTTGAAATTTTATATGATATTATATACAAGACAAAGTAATGGTAAAAGAGTTGCAAATCGGTAAATATAGTAAATAACTAATTTAAAGATAACTAGTTCTCCTTATTCACCTAATTCATCGTACAAAAAGTGTTAGGTGCAAAACTGTCAAGTTTGACTTCACTAATTGGTGAATCAAGTTCGAATAAACTCTTGCTAAATCAAGTTTGATTCGAGTATCAAATAGTTTGATTCATCATTCAATCCTAATCAAGAAATGAATAGAAATAATTGAAACTAGGTAAGAAATGAAGTCCAAATGACATAAATTAACACCTCACACAAAAAAGAAAAACCCACTCTAAAACAGTGATCTTCACAAGAATATAACCATAGTCAAATGTATGCATTGACACGTGTCAAGCATGTGCCACACTTGGGTGGGGAATTTCTTCCACTACAATATTATTTTTGTCCATGTCTAAAGAATATAGGCAAGATAGCTGCACCAAGAGGGAAATTGTTGTGTAACATAATTTTGTCAGCCATGAAACAAATGGCATAATCCATTAAAACTGACGAAATTTTTTTTTCATGTACAACATATGTACAATTCAGAGAACTAATAATATACATTGACATCAATTTTACATGTTAAATGTTGTCTAAATCACATATTTTGACAATTCACCTGACAAAATTTTTTATGTTGTGGTATTTATATCATCTTATATATAATCTCTTACAAAAATTTCATACATTGATGACTATATTAGGTTAAATAGATACTAAATGTATCATATATATGATGTCCTTCTACAAGTTGTGAATTTTATTTGAAGAAATTAGGTTAGAATTATTTGGAATTTTATATGATATTATGTGCAAGACAAGGCAATAGTAAACAAGTTGCAAATTCGTAAATATAGTAAAAATTGATTTAAAGATATAGTTCTCCTTATTCACCTAATTTGTCATAGAAAAGGTGTCAGGTGCAAAATTGTTATGTTTTACTAGACTAGTTGGTGAACCAAGTTCGAATGAACTTTTAGTAAACTAAATTCATTTCAAGTATCGAGTAATTTGATTAATCTTTCAGTCATAAAGGAAAGCTAACATAAATTAACACCTCACATAAAATAGCATGGACCCACTCTAAAACTATGATCTATACAATGTAAAGGAAAAATCAGCTCAAAACCTAGCTAAAAAAGGCCCGCACAAAATCACCAAAAGGGGAAAAAACCCAATTATCTTTCTCAAAATCCATTAAATTAAGCATGAGAAATATATGAGAAACCATATATCGGAGAAATTAAGTTTTATTTGATCAAAACAACCCTTGTCAGACTTAGAAATATTTTCCTTGCGACAACTCCCAAGAAGACCTATCATCAATCAATAAAAAAATGGGCCAAGAAAAAATATGTAAAACTCATAAACTGATCTAAAATCGTAGGTGAATTAAAGGGTGAAACATAACCATGAATTTACTAGTTTTAGCCTTGGAAGTGAACAAAAATAGTAGAGAGTGAAAATAAAATATTTAATTGATATTTTTTCAAATACAGAAGAGACAATAAAGTACTATGTAGTTTGTAGTCATAGAACTAGCAAGAGAAGCCTTTCTTTCTTTCTTTTCTTTCTTGTTTCTTTATTGCATTTTTTCCAAAGTACTTTTGTTTTTCTCGTTTTAACTTATGTTTTTCCAGTTGAGGTTATAATTAATGCATTTTGCATGTGAATTTATAGCAGGGGAGAGAGATAAACGGATCAACCAATAGGAAACTGCCAGTTAGGTATTAAGGTATAAGGCTTATTAGTATCTATTAGCCAAATGTGTAACCCTAGTCAAATGTGGGTATTAACACGTATCATGCACGCGCCACAAAATTAGGAATTTCTGTGACTGTTATTTATTGGGTAAGTGTGAGATAGGAGACGCTTCAACACTCAAGTGGGTTGGAATTTGTGCCTACGTAATACATGGAGTGTTTGAGATGACAGAAGAGTCTAATTTTGGGGCAGATACCCTAACGTCTAAGTTGTAATTAAAAATAAAAAAGTGGAAATTGAAATTAGAAAATAAGGATTGCCCTAAACCTGAAACTTGATATGGTGCAGCTTTGATAACAAATTTAAAAACTTGCCATGCACTAAAGGCTGGTAAGTATTAAATGGTGGATTCTCAAAATCACAACAGAAAAATCTTATATGACCATTAGATGTATTTTTATCATTTTTCTTGACGACATAATTTAATGTTGATGTGGGGATAAATTTTGAATAGTTAAAGTATGAAAAGAAGAAAAAGTTAAAAGGAAAAAGATTTTAAGCAAACGCTAATGCAACTTTATCATT